GATGCTAAAAAATAAAAAAGAAACAAGTTATTGCTACTCACAATGTATCATTTGTGATTTACTGCTTGGATAAACATCTTTTAAAAATATTTTCCTATCTGGGTGTGGGTGGTTTATGCCTGTAATCCTAACTACTCAAGAGGCTGAGATCTGAGGACCCTGGTTTGAAGCCAGCCCAGGCAGGAAAGTCTGTGAGACTCTTATCTCCAATTAACCACCAGAAAACTGGAAGTGGAGCTGTCACTCAAATGCTAACCCTGAGCAAAAACTGCCAAGTGATAGCTTGAGTACTGGTGCGTGCGCGCGCGCGCGCGCACACACACACACACACACACAAACACACACACACAACTTTAGTAATAAACAGAGTTTTGGCTTATTACAAGACTAAATGTGAAAATCATCACATTCCAAATTTTAGCACCTACATAACTGGCTCAATTTTGAAGAGAAGAACAAGCATATATATTTTTACAAAAATGACTTGAGAAATTATATGTTGTCAAGTCAATTTCTCTTCCCTCAACTCTACAATAGCAGAAGCTTTGAGTAGGAGGGTGAGAGCAGTACTGGCTTGAACTCAGGAGCTTTCTGCTTTCCCTGTTCACTTATTTGGTAGACTAGTGCTCTACCACAGCAGCCAGGCCGCCAGGCCTGCTTTTTGCTGACTGTTTTAGAGATGAAAACTCTTCAACTTTTCTGCCTCATTTGACTTAAGTAGAATGTTCTACTTCTGTGTTTTTTCTAATTAGCATCTTAGAAATGTTACCCATAATTTCAGTGACCTTTATTATACAGAAAAGGGTGATTCAAGTCTAGAAATATACTCTGGTTTTAACATTCGCTTACTCTTTGCTTCCACCTAGTGGACAACCACTTGCATAGCAAGTTTTAAAATCACCTGAGTAAAAATGTGAGCTCTTTGGTTTCCACAGCATATGGGTTTTGTTTCTTTCATCCGGGTATTTCAAAAACATCATGGGTTTTGTTCCCAATGTAAGGAATTAAGTGAAGACTTTAAAACCTATACTAATGTGAATATATTGGCCTGTCATGAGAAGATTTCTAAGTCCTGTTTCCCAAGCATGCTTGGCCACATGACAAAGTCTTTATTCGCACATTTATAAACTGTGGCAGTCATTTCATTGACACTCATCAGTGAGGGTAGCTGTTTAGCTTAATTGGATGTCACCCACCTCCCAACAGCGGCTCCTGTCCATGGAACATTTGTTTTAGTTAGCCTCAAAATAAATAAAAATAAAGATTCTCACAGTGCACCGGTGGCTCAGGCCTATTTAAGAGGCTGATATCTAAGGATCGTGGTTCAAAGCCAACCCAAGCAGGCAAGTTCTTGAGACTCTTACCTCCAGTGAACCACCAAAAAGTAGAGCTGTGGCTCAAGTGGTAGAGTGCTAACCTTAAAAACAAAAATGCTGAGGGACAGTACCAGGCCGTTAGTTCAAGATCCAGTACCAGCACATACACACAAAATTATTTAAATTCTCCAAATTACACAAACTCACCAAGTTTAACAATCTTTCTATAATAAACACAATGAACATTTCTTATAAGAGTTATCATGAGGTATAAGGTATATTTTAATTTTTTCTACTTAAATGTGCTAAACAAAACTCTCATTTAACTCATGCCTGACTTATCTTCTCTTTCCTAAGGGTTTTTTAATTGCTAATATTCTACAATATTCTCATAAGTCAAGGGAATCAGGCAAGTTAAGTTTCTATAACAAAATACTATAGTCGTAAAACAACAGAAAATTGTTTTTTCCAGGGTTAGTAGTCTGACACCCAGGAGCAGGGACCAGATCCATATGGGATTTAGAGAACCTTTTCCTTTGTGCCAACAGCCACCTTCTCACTGCGTCTTTAGCCTTGAACTCTATGGGGCAGGGGTGATCTTTGATTTTGGCATTCTTTCATTTGGCATTAACTGATTTGTCTTTTTGTGCCAATACTGGGGCCTGAATTCAAGATGTGGGAACTGTCCTTGAGCTTCTTTGTTCAAGACTGGTGTTCTACTACTTGAGCCACAGCTCCACTTCTGGCTTTTTGCTGATTAGTTGGAGATAAGAATCTCCTAGAGCCAGTCACCAGTGACTCACACCTGTAATCCCAGCTAGCCAGTGGCTCAAGCCTGTAGTCCCAGCTACTCAGGAGGCTGAGATCTGATGATCTCGATTCAAAGCCAGCCCAGGCAGGAAAGCCCATGAGACTCTTATCTCCAATTAACCACCAGAAAACTGGAAGTGGCACTGTGGCTCAAGTGGTAGAGTGCTTGCCTTGAGCTGAAGAGCTGAGGGACAGTGCCCAGGCCCAGAGTTCAAGCCTCATGACAGACCAAAGAAAACAAACAAACAAACAAAAAAAAAAAACAGAATCACATAGACTTTCCTACATGGGCTGGCTTCAAGCTGAGATCCTCAGATCTCTGAATAGATAGCTGACTCCAGAGGCTGGGTTAAAGGTTTGGATGTGCATGACATCCTGAAGTGTTTTCTTTTTATCTGTAGTGGGGCAAGCTCTTCCTTGGGGAGGGAAGGGGAGAGAACTGCTTTGACCACCCTTTACTATTTTCTCACTTTCTAGGAGTATGTTAAAATTACATTACTGACGTCTAATGGAATCTCTAGGATAGTGTGTACTTTGAGACCGCTGTCGAAGAGGTGCAGATAGCGCCAAGTTCTCACCCAGTCTGATCTTGTCTCGTCAGCAGTCAGATGGGCATTCTCCACCTACCCAGAATGAGTCCCTGGCTGCACCTGCCCTCAGCCCTGCTTTCCTCCAGGCTGTGTTCTTCTGGGCAATCAAACCCGCAGGACAAGGTACATTAGTTACAAAATATTTATGGAAGCCAGATAAATCATTTAGTCTTGGTCTTTAGAACGATCTGACTAAGAAAACAAGAAGACATTGTTCTCACACTGCCACAGGCAACAGAAAGTCAATGAGGAAGTAATACATGGGAAGCAGATTCTAGACAAAGAGGTGGAGCCTCGTGATCTCACCTGCAGCCCTCACCACTGACTTTGCCTCAGTGGAAATATTTCTTTTTACTTTTTTTTTTTGCCATTTTTTTTATTGTGAAAATACTGTACAGAGGGGTTACAATTACATGGGCAAGATAATGAGTACATTTCTTATCCAGCATTGTAGCTTCCTCCTTTGTTTCCCCTTCCCATCCCTTCCCATCTCCCCCAGCCCCTACCAAAGTTGTAAAGTTCGTTTTCGACATAACGACTTGTACATCTCATTGTTGCAATGGGTCCATCTGTATCCCTATTTAAATGATTTGTTTTTCCCCTTTCCCTCCACAAATTATACCAACATCAAATACAGTGAAAGCAGGGGTTATAACATGGGGGAGGGACATACAAAGCAACAAAGAAATAATCTTATAAATGTGTTAGAAACAATCGCATGAAAGAAAAAAAAACATTTGAATACATGTCTTAGGGTTCATTTCCCTAACATCAACTTATCTGACCTTTTCTGCTTGACTCAGACATATACTAGATATTGCAAATAAGGGAAACCATGGAACCTATGTTTCTTTGGGCCTGGCTTACTTCACTTAATATAATTTTTCGAAGTCTTTCCATTTCCTAACAAATGGGGCAATGTCATTCTTTCTGATGGAGGCATAGAATTCCATTGTGTATATATACCACATTTGCTTCATCCATTCATTTACTGAGGGCATCTGAGAACCACTGGACTAGAACTGAAGACCCAGAAATGAACCCCGTGGAAATATTAACAAGATAGGAAATGTCTGAATTATGTTTTCCGTTGTTGCCCCCAAATCCATTACTAGAATGGTCAGCTGCGGACGTAAGTGGGAAGAGAAGCACAGTGGCGGAGACAGCTTCTGATGGAACAAAACGGGCTGGGTTTTCAGGCTTTGGTTTTAACAAAAAGGGAATGCACAGCGGGGCAGACGACCGTGGCTCACGCCGTCAGCCTGGCGGCTCGGGAGGCTGACAGCTGAGGATCGCGGTTCAAAGCCAACCCCGGGCAGGAAAGGCCGTGAGACGCTTCTCAACCGGAAGTGGCACTGTGGCTCAAGCGGTAGAGCGCTCGCCTTGAGCTGAAGAGCTGAGGGACAGCGCCCAGGCCCAGAGTTCAAATCCCAGGACCAGCACAGCAAAGAAAAAGAACGTGAATCTATCTGTTCAAGTGGTTGTGAACACAACACACGCCCCAGGCTCCTTCCCGTGGCTGTTGTCACCTGAGGGGTGGCGGGGCGGTGGGAGTGCCATGCCACGCGTGCTCTGATCCCTGCCACCCCAGAGGGGACACAATTAGGTGCCGCTCACCCCCAAGATGTGAGGAGGCACCAGAGACCTGCGATCGCATTTTCCATAAATGAACACAGGACCCAGAGGCACGTACATTTACTCTGCAGCGAGCCAGGCGGACCGCGGAGCCCAGGTGCAGCGAGCATCCCGGAGGGCTCAGGGCGCATGCGCTGCGCGAGGCCAGCCCCGGCGGGCGCAGGGGCGCATGCGTGGAAGGAGCTCCTGCTGGAGTGGCGGCCGCAGGCAGCGCGCGCACGGACCGTCCCGCGCGGGGAGTAAGGCCTGCGTGGGGATGCGGTGCCCACGCGCGACCCAGGCCTCCGTGAGCCCCGCCGGGTGCACGTGCCGACCCCGACCCCCCCCCCCCCGGAGGACAGACGCGGTCCTTCAGCGGCGAACGTCCCAGCCGTGTGAGCACACGCGCGTGCGCGTGCACGCTCACGCACAGGAGACAACGCCAGCAGCCTGGCCCGCGCTTTCTGGACACGCGCGCGGACTGACCTGTGCGGCCGGTGCGGGCCGGCCGGCTGCGGAGCCAGGGGACGGACGGCGCCGTCGTCATGGGTACCAGCACCAGACAGGTCGTCTCCTCCCCACGCGGGACCTGACCGCGCAAAAATCGGGGGGGAGGGGGCAGGAGAGAGAAACCGACACAGACAGACAAACGGACAGAGGAGGCGGTTCGCTAAAGGCCGAACACACTGGCGGCGGCGGGGCGAGGCACCCGCTCTGCACTGCTGTGCAGGAGAGGAACCGTACTGCGCTCCCGGAAGACCCGGATGCAGCGCGGTCAACCCTCTTCTGTCTGTCTGCCTGCCTGTCTGTCTGTCTGCTTGCCTGCCTCTGTCTCTCTCTGTCTCTGTCTCTCTCTGTCTCTGTCTCTCTGTCTCTCTCTCACACACACGCTTGGCGGATGGAGATCCCACGCTACACACAGAGACCACATTTCTGAGCAGATGCCGCGCGCGTGGGGCTCGGCCCGGGCCCCTGCGGGGTTCCTGGGACCCGAGCTTGTTTTCCAGAACGATCGGTGGCTCGGAGACCAGGAGGTCGTCCTTGGACAGGAGCAGCCATGCTCCGTGTTCACCAAGTTGAGGAGGTCGAACTCCAACGAGGCGGGCGGCGCTCTCCAGCTCGCCGAAGGAGCAGTGGAACGCGGAGAGGGTCTCCTCGGGCCCGGGCGCGCGGACACCTTCGCCGGCTCCAGAGGCTTCCCGAAGCGGGACTTGAGGTGCTGTGCAAAATGTGCTGGAGACCCAGCCTTGGCCGCGAGACCCCACCCCTCCGCCTGGGCCCCGCCCCCACCCGCGAGACCCCGCCCCCGCGGCCCCGCCCCACCCCTCCGCCTGGGCCCCGCCCCCAGCCGCGAGGCCCCGCCCCTTCTGGTGGTCCCGCCCCCCGCCCTGAGACTCCGCCCCCGGGGCCCCACCCCGAGCCACAGGGGGTCCACAGGAGGAAACCCAAGGCCCAGCGGCGAGATGTGGGGTTGGGATCATGGCAGTCAGAATCCGTGCTTTTCTTCAGCACCTAGGATGAGCACGTGAAGCTCAGTGGGGCCCGGGGGCGCGGCACCCCCTCTGCTGTCAGCCTTTCCGACTCGGAGGCACACGCCTGCCATCCCCGCCGCTGAGGACGCTGAGATCTGGGGATCTCGGTTCGAAGCCAGCCAGGTGGAAAAGTTCATGGGACCCCATCTCCAATAAACTGCTGGGAAGAAGCTGGACGTGGTGCCGTGGCTCAGGTGGTTGAACATCAGCCTTGAACAACAAAGCTGAGAGGCAGCGCCTGTGCTCCGAGTTCAGGTCCCAGGACTGGAACAAACAAGACCCAAAGCCATCCAGACGAGCCCAGCTCAAGAGGCCGGCCGCCCTTTCCAAAGAAGAACGCCCTCAGGGAGAAAGAAGCAAGAAGTCGTTCCCAAGACCAAGCCGTACAGGGCAGGTTCCCACGGCACAGCCGGCCTCCGAGGGCAGCTTGGGAGGCCATGAGCAACGGGTGCACAGCCTCCATGATTGTGTCCTTAAACCTTGTCTTTCCCACCTGAACACTCGGTGCGAATTTCTAATGATCAGCCTCTTACGGATGGGGAGCCCTGTCAGATTCCTGTCACCAGCATCCCCATTGTCAAGATCAGATCAGGTGTGATGAGACACGCCTGTAATCCCAGGACTCAGGGAGGAGCTTGAGGAAGGAGGGCTGGGAGTTCAAGGCCACCCTGGGATACATGGTGAAAACCTGACTCAGGAACACCAGGCACACACCACATCTGCTGCCTTCATCTCGTTGGAGACACTCCCGGTTACAGCCACCCCGTTCTGTGGCTGAGCACTGTTTAGAATTGCCACAGAAGAGAGAAATCGCCTTGTGGTAAAAAGCAGATGGACAAATGCAAGTCCAGAACTGTGAGTCTCAAGGTCTCCATGACACCTGAGAGGAGTGGACAGTCACACCCCCCCAGAGAGACCGAGCTCGCTGGATTACTGTGCCTCTGTGCGTGTGCACGCACATGCACATATGTGTGTACATGTGTAATGAGAGATTGATTTTAAGGAACTGGATATGTCATTGTGCAGGCTAGCAAGTCCAACATCTACAGAGGAGGCTGGTAGGCTGGAGACGCAGTCAGTTCTGGTCTTCTGGAAGACTCTATGTTCGGGGAGATCAGTCTTAAGTCTATAGAGACCTTCAACAGAGTGGATGAGGCACCCACGTTATAGAAAGTGATACACTTCGGGCTGGGAAGGTGGCTCAGTGGTAGAGTGCTTGGCTTGTAATGCACGAGGCCCTGGGTTCGATTCCTCAGCACCACATAAGAAAAAAGCCGGAAGTGGCGCTGTGGCTCAAGTGGTAGAGCGCTCGCCTTGAGCTGAAGAGCTGAGGGACAGCGCCCAGGCCCAGAGTTCAGGCCCCACGACCGGACCCAAAAAAAAAAAAAAGTGATACACTTCATTCAAGGTGCACTGATTTATGCTAATTTAAGATCATTGAAAAATGATCTTAAAAAACAACCTACCTTCATCAGTCTGGGAAAACTCAAGTGGTAAAGCACCTGCCTAGCAAGCTGGAAGCCTGACACATTTAAAAAAGAAGAACCTTCACAGAAACATCCAGAATAATGTTTGGCCAAATATCTAAATGCCACAGCCTACCCACGTTGACTCTGAAAGTCACGCACTGTTAGTGCAAGGGTGTTTTTATTCATAAAATCATGTGCCTCGATGATCCTGCAAAAAAAAAAAATATCCAAGGAACAGGGAGATTATGGAGTGTTACTATTCTCTGACAGTTCCACTTTCTTTATTGCTCTTGTAAATCACTGCAAATCCCCTAATCCCTTGAACCCACACAGGGAAGCAAAGGCTTGTATGGCTGTTTGGAGGACACTGGGAGAAAAGAGCAAGGTCCTTCTATGGCTTCTGAAGAGTCCCAGCCACCATCCCCCCGTGCCTTAAGAAGTGGTTCTTTTCCTACCATTCAAAATGATTGTGTTGAAAATTGTCCCCCAATCCTTGATGGGCAGAAGCATTTGTTGTCATTCGAGGGCAGAATAAAGGCCAAGCAACAAGCACCAGGACCTGAGTTATATAACTGGGACAGTGTGCAATTTCCTCTAGTCCCTCCCTCAGCTCCCTCCACTCTCCCCTGCCTGCAATTTACTCTAGGAAGCTGGCCTTTGATGGAGCTTCTGACTGCTGGTCGTGTTCAGCCAACAAGGGGCAATGGTGAGACATGGAAAGAGGGAACAGAGGCCAGACCACCGGCCGCACCCAAGATCCGAGGCAGGTGGGAAAGGCCTCTCTGTGTGATAAGCCTCGGAAACCTCTACCAAAAGCACTTCTAGTTACCAACTCCAGTAGCTATAAGTTGCTCAGTAGAACCAACTAATAAGTTCTTTGACACATTATTTTCCTGTTTGCATTTGTTTTTCCTGTTGGTCATGGGGCTTGAACTCTAAGCCTGGGCACTGCCCCTCATCTCTTCAGCTCAAGGCGAGCACTCTACCGCTTGAGCCACAGCACCACTTCTGGTGTTCTGGTGGTTAATAGGAGATAAAAGTCTCATGGACATTCCTGCCTGGGCTGGCTTTGAACCATGCTCCTCAGATCTCAGCCTCCTGAGTAGCTAGGATTATAGGCGAGAGCCAACAGCACCTGGTTTGAAATATATTTTTAAGAACATCCTGTTCAAGCCTATAGTCCGAGCTGCTTGGGGAGCAGAGATTGGAGAATCACAGTTTCAGGTGCTCAGGTGCTGTTTCTCTGGGTCACTATGGAGCATGAGACACTTAGGTGCAGCCCAGACTTACTCTTGGTGTGGGGTGCCTGTCTTGGTCAGCAAAGTGAGCACAAAAATCATAAAACTCACGAAGACTGCAAAGCCAACCCAGAACCTGATCACGATGGAATCTGCAAAGCAAACAGTAGTGGTGTCCGTGTATCATGGGGCTGCACACATGCCGTCCTGGGGCTTGAACTCAGGGCCTGAGCACTGTCTGAGCTGGTTTTGCTGAGGGCTAGCTCTCTACCATTTGAACCACAGCACCACTTCAAGCTTTTTCTGAATAGATTATTGAAGATAAGTAAGGACTTTCCTGTCCAATCTGGCTTCAAACCGTGATCCTCAGATCTCAGCCTCCTGAGTAGCTAGGATTACAGGTATGAGCCACCAGTGCCCTACTCCAATGAAATGGTTTTATCCCACTATTAAAGTTTGGGTACTATCTTACTGTATGACTGATGGATAATGTATTTTCCCAGTGTGACTTTTAGGTCATATCTACTATAGCACCATTAATCAGCACTATAAGCACCCTTGAGTCTATGGTTTTTATACATCTTGTTACAATTGAGCAGAAAGTACTTCAAAGACTCCTTGAATTTACTTATCCAGTTATTTGATAAATTAAGATCCATTTAAGCATAGTTGAAATCAGTAATGGATCAAATGGCATAGTCTGCTAGAATTTTTTATTATGACTGAGTTGATCTACAGAGGGATTATGGTTACATGACTATAATTCTCTTTGAACCCTGTCTCCCTTCCCTCCCTCTCCTGGCTTTTCTCTCCCATCCTCACCCACAAGATATCCAGTTCATTTTCCACATGGAGTCCGGTGAGTGTCACTGTTGCATTTGTTCAACCTGTTTCATCTTTTCTGATATGGATTAATAAGTTTAAGGCCAAGCACCAGTGGCTCACACTTGTAATACCAGTTACTTAGGAGACTGAGATCTGAGGATCATGGTTCAGAAGCTATTTCAAAGCCAGCTGGGCAGAAAAGTCCCTGAGAGCTCTTATCTCTAACAAAGTACTCAGAAAAGCCTGGAAGTGGTGCTGTGGCTCCAGTGGTAGAGCATTCACCTTGAGCTGAAGAGCTCAGGGCCTTGAGTTTAAGCACCATAAAGAAGTTTATTTAAGTGGCAACGCAGTACGTAAGGTTAACTTCGTTTAAATAAATGATTAGCTGAATGCCAATGGCTCATGCCTGTCATCCTAGCTACTCAGGAGGCTGAGATCTGAGGATTGCAGTTCAAAGCCAGCCCAGGCAGGAAAGTCCGTGAGACTCTCATCTCCAATTATCCACCAGAAAACCGGAAGTGGTTCTGTGGCTCAAGTGGTAGAGTGCTCACCTTGAGCTGAAGAGCTCAGAGACAGTGCTCAGGCCCAGAGTTCAAGCCCCATGACCCACAAAAGAATAAAATAAATAAATAAATGGTTAAAGGCAGGCACTCCTGGCTCACACTTGTATTCCTAGAGATTCAGGAGGTTCAGATCTGAGGACTGAGGTTCAAAGCCAGCCCAGGCAGATAAGATGAGAAGCTGAGCTGTAGCTCAAGTGGCAGAGCACTAGCCTTGAGCAAAAATGTTCAAGGACAGCACCCAGGCCCTGAGTTCAAGCCCCGTTACAGCCCAAAATTAAATAAAGCTTACATTAAAGCATTATTTTAATTAAATTATGTCTACGTTATACAATTTTCTAAAGGAAAAAAAGGAGAATTAGCAGCTCGCTCTGCATAATTCCTATTTTATACTGCACATCCTGCTGCAGTTAACATTGTTGAACACTCTGGATGCAAAAGTTAATGTACTGTTCCAACATCTATCAGTGCTAAAGGAATAGCAACTTCTGCAAATGTTGCTTTGTAAACTAATGGCAGTGAAGCATATAGGAAGACATAAGGACAAGTACCAAAACACATGTCCTCCAGTGTAACTCACGTGGAATGATGGGATCTCCCGGGGCTGCCTGACTGTGGAGAAATGTTGACGCGTTAGCAACTGTTCTGGTCTCTGTGCCTGATCAGCTGCTTCAGAAGAAAGCGAATCAGAGAGGAGATGGAGGAGGGCTGCCAGTAATGTAGCAGGGCCTTCCTTCTCCCCTCTTGTGCCTTGGGGAGTTGACACAAAGCAGCAGAAGTCGGGAGCCTGGGAGGCCCACAGCCTTCCGAGAAATAATGTGGCAGAGTGGGAGACAGAGATCCCCAACCCAATGCCATTTCCAAGTGTTGCCCTGCTGATGTGACAACCGTGTTTCCCATGACAGCCGGCCTTACCTAGCTCTTATTCATAATCCCTTTCAAATAGAATTCTGCTTCCTCTGATTATTTGCAGGAGCTTCCCCTTACCCTAGTCCTGTGTACGTGACAGAACCCGCGTTACTTTCCCACCCGGAACTTCTACTAGAGAGCACTCTCTCCACCCAAGAACATCTAACTTCTCTTGAAGTTTTATTTTCCTGCGAGTTTGGTGGGCACAAGTGTCACATAGGAAGAGGAAGGCAGAGCCTCCGGTCTTCCTGAGAAACGCACTTCCCAGGAAGAGGCTGGGACAGAACTGGGCCCAGTGTGATTCAGGAGAAGCTGGAACCAAGTAGCCACACTCTGTTATGCGCCACTGGGCTGTGTGAACAAATGGCCCAGAACACTTCCCAGTGGAAAAGAATACAAATACTTCCCTTACACAGGCTCTGGTGGTGGCCCACGCCTGTAACCCTAGCTGCTCAGGAAGCTGAGATCCGAGGATCATTCTCCAAAGCCAGCCAGGGCAGGGAAGTCCATGAGACTCTTATCTCCAGTTAGCCATTCAAGAGCTGGAAATGGAGCTGTGGCTCAAGTAGTAGAGCATCACTCTTGAGTGAGAAAGCCAAGCAAGAACAAGAGGCCCTGAATTCAAGCCCCAGTACCAGCACAAAACCAAAATCCTTCCACTTAATCAGACCTAAAATGATGGCCTGAAACAAGAGAGCTGAAATCCAGCATGCACTTCCTCTCCAGGTTTGTTCTTTGCCATTCCTCCAAAGAATCAAGGATAAAGTATGACCGATGACCTTTCCCTGAGGGTCAGGACAGCAGAGCTGGCAGGGTCCTCACCCAGCAACCACAGTGATGGATGGGTGTCCCACAGAGGGGTCTCTTGGCCCTGAGCTCCCACTGTGGTCCCCCTGACCTCCCCACTATGCACTGCTCCTGCCCTGAAGACAGCATCCGACTGACCCACCCACTCACGAGGGGCATCCTCAGGTTAGCATGTGTGCGCAGTGCGGGGCTTGCCTGCCACTGGTGGCTCCTAATAAGCCAGTTTCCTATTGCACCCTGCTGAAGTGCAGGTGTCTGCTCAGCCACTCTGGGCTTTTGTTCTCTGAGAACAAACCCACTGTCTCCCCAGCCAAGCCCTTTCTCAAGGCTCACGGCTCTCCTTCCCTTTGTTGGGAGTTCTTCTGTGATCTCTCCATGTCTACTAGTTCCAGCCTCACGCACCTTCCTGCCCAGGCTGGCTTTAAACCCATAATCTTCATATCTCAGCCTCCTGAGCAGTGAGGATTACAGGTGTGAGCCCCTGGCATCCCACCCACTGCAAGAGTTGACTTAATCTTTTTACTTTCCTGCATACATTTCACAGCTCTAGCTCCACGTTACCAGGTCCCAGATGTGAAGTGTCTCTCACAGATCTCTTGCAGCAGAACACACAGTAGCTTCTCACTTGAACAGTTTTGTGTCTTTGCGATGTGCATACTCAAACAAATTTCCACTAGTGGTGGAATAAGTAACGTGTCACAGCTCTACGTTTCATGGAGATTCATTTCAAGAAGCAGTCATGTTTACAATTTACTATGAGCAAAAAAGATTTTCCACAGCTCTTTCTAGAAATGCACCAACAAAATAGCGCTGTCTTCAGGCCTCTTCAAAACTAAGGAAAAGAGACAGAGGCAAGCTAGTCTGAAGCTGGGGCAAACCGAAGCACTGGCATGGATCTGGGGCACAGCTCTGGTTAGAGGGTACAGAGCAGCCGTTCGCCCAGGCACTCTGATTTCTGCCATCATTCATGACAAGCAAGTGTCCTTATTGAAGGTCATCCCTGAAAAACCACAGACTATGTGAATTTAGGACAGTGATTTCGTTCCCACCCTTCCATCAGGTAATGAATGACAGCCTGTCCTAACGAGTTCATCTCCTTTTTCCTCCATAACTTCTGAGCAAATATTACCGTGTTAAAATCATTTAACTATTTCTTGAGGCATAAAGGATATATGATAAAGGCAATGACTTCTCCCAGCTAGCCTTCCTTGCAGCGCATGGGTATAACGGGTCATTGATTGCACACAGGTCATAGTGAGGGAGGGAAAGCTTTTCCTTTGCTCCATTGTGCCTCTGGTTCTAATCTCCCTTGGGCTTCCCAATGTGTCACATTCGTTTGGATCATTTAAGCTACCCACAGCCTAGCCTGGTGCAATAAATCATTCATGCCTGTAATTCTAGCTGTTTGGAAGGCAGAGGGTTGAAGGATCGTGGTTAGCGGCCAGCCAGAGTAGAGAAGTTCTCAAGACTCCATCTCAGCCAACGACTCGGTACAGTGGTGCCTCCTGCTGTCTCAGCAATGAGGGCGTGACTGCTGGGTTCTGTGGGCCCCTGCGGGCCCCAGTGACACGAGAAACACAGATAGGAGGATCACCTCCCAGGCTGGCCCCAGGCATTAAAAAAAAAAGTGAGAGAATGGACATCAGAAACAACCAATGGGAAAAGGGACTGCAGGCAGGCTTGGCTCAGGTTGAGAGAGCATGCACCCAGCAAGCATGAAGCTCAGAGTTCAATCTCCAGCACTGACAAAAACCAACAAACCTGACAAATGGCCATGATGACACAGATCTATAATTCCAGCGTGTGGGAGGCTGAGGTAGGAGGAAGGCAAGTTGGAGGCCGGCTGGACTCCAAGAGTGGTCCCTGTTATAAAAAAAAAATAGAGGAAAGGAACTTAGAATCTTTGCAGTACATAGACAGGCATTCATGAAGCAGACGGGGATGGGGAGAGGGCCACAGACCCAGCCCATCATCTAGCTCTGCTCTACACAAGGAGCCCACTTCCATTTGCAGCCAGCACTATGTTTTCTTCTTTAATCTTACTTTAACTTTTTCATTGTTATTATAAAGGTGATGTACAGAGGGGTTACAGTTACGTAAGTCAGATGAAGAACATATTTCTTTTTGGACAATGTCATCCTTTCCTTCACTCCTTCCCAGATTTTAGCTCTCATTCCCACACACAAGATGTCAAGTCCATTTTCCACAAGTTTTCTAGCACGTACCACTGCTGCATGTGTTCACCCTTTGTCCCTCCAGTTTTGATGAGAGTCCCTTCCATGGCCGTGTACTTCTTGGCTTTGCGTCAGATCCTTAACCATCTGCATAACACAAAACACAACCCTGCCTAACACTGGAGTTCAGAACAGAGGCTGGCTAGTCCCAGCTCTGGTCATGAACACACACACTGCGCTTCACAGGTCTAGAAAACCAAGTGTGTGTGAACAATACCATAGCCTATGGGCTGTTGCAAAAGAAAAGTCCCCACATAATAACCTCTAGGGTCCATTTTTGCACATATTTCTGGTAATCCGAACAGTTATACTTTGGGGTACCTCGAAGCGTTCATGCCAAAAAAAAAAGGCTTGGTCTGAATTTTGTCCTGATTTATATCTCTGTATGAATCAGAATGAGGTCTCCTGAGTGAGCAACCACTCCATGTGTGGAATGGGTGTTTTGTGGGTAGAAGACAATTATGTAAGAAGGTGGAATTTTCAGGAAAAATAACCCATGGGTATTTCACAGGTAAAGACAAATACATCACACGCAAACAGTGGAGAGTTACACAAGACTTACATTTGTGAGCCTTCAGTCCTTTAAAGGAAACTGGTCCGATTTCATAATATTCATACTCCCAGGTGTAATCAGAATGTGATGCCAGGGGCTGGGAGGTTCCATTAGAAGCTAACCTCTGGACAGACATCTCCACTCTGCAAAGAAGGACAAAAGAGCAGGTTTGGAACTCATGAGCAGATTCTCGATCGCCCACTTACCCTGGTGATGCTGGACCCCAACTCAGGAGTCCAGGAGCCAAAACCTGAGCGACTCCCCTCCTCCTCCTCAGCCCAGGGTCAGAAGGAGGGAGGGGAAAGGTCCTCACCAGCTGCTCCTGCCTCCCACCAGGGGGCGCCACTCACTCCCTTTTCTCACTGCTTTTCTGCTTTTCTAGAATACATCTGAAACCAGGCATTGATGTCTCTTATGAGAAGTTGACAGAAGACCTGGCACGTAATCAATGTTTAATAAGTGAAGAGAGAGAGGCAGAAGGCAAGGGTTATGTGGGTCTTTGGGCTTACAGATTCAGCCTCATAACTTCTATTGTGCACATGTACAGAAAGACTGTGAGCATTCCATGAATGAGTCCCATCTGTTTCGGGCACCAGCCAGCTCAGTGTGCATCTCATGAGCATCTATTGTGCAATTGTAAAGATGTGCAGTTTGGGCCAGATGCCAGTGACTCACACCTGTAATCCTAGCTAATCAGGAGACTGAGAATCTGAGGATCACAGTTCAAAGCCAGCCTGAGTAGGAAAACCCCAGAAGACTCCCACCTCCAATTAACCACCAAAAAGCCAGAAGTGGAGGTGTGACCCAAGTGGTAGAGTGCTAGCTTCGAGAGGAAAAAGCTCAGGAACAGTGTCAGGCTGGCACAATAAACAGCTTTCATCTAATGGGGTAGGGGGGAGTGAAGAAGGAGAAGCCACGGGAGACACGCAGAAGTGACACCTTGGCTGGGGCTAACTCCAAGTCCCCACGCAAAGACGATAAAGGCATGGTACTAGGCCTATGTCCTTGGCCTGTGGCACAAGCTGTGGCAGACGCCAGAGCCACACACCAGATCCCCATCACCCCACCACACCACACCTAGAAAACCCTGTCGAGAGTTCCCCTCTCCCCACCTCCCCTTCATCACAGTCACCACAGCCATCATCAGGGCCACAGGGCAACACCAGCAGCACCCCTGTGCCCCCTACTCGCAGGCTCTCCTCCACCGCAGACCCGGGCCCCCAGAACAAGCCTCTGTCCCCATAGCGTGGTGATGTTCCAAGGCTAGGGTGCTCAAACCCAGAGACACCTGCCAGCCTCAGGAACTGCGTGTGACTCCCCGTTCCTTCCTCAAAGGTAGGAAGGAACCAAACTTCGTGTGGACACATTGGGCTTCACTCTGGGCATTCCGTTCCGCTTCTACCTGCTCACAACCAGTGCCACAGCTCAGCCCGGGCTGTGGTGTTATTCAACAAGAGAAGCGAGTTTCCCCAGGAAGGAGTGCCACACCCATCTTTGCCCTTCCTGAGGCAGCAAGGCCACCAGCACCTGGCTGGCCCCGCCCATGCCTCAGAGGCCTCAGCCAGGGTTCCTTGGAACAAACCAGAGGCTCTTGCTGCTGCTCTGCTTAATCCTTTCAATGGCTTCCCATTGCCTCTAGCGCAAAACCTCTAAAATGTCTGATGAGGCTATAATCATGTATATCAATTGTGTCTCCCCCCCACACACACACCCCACAAGGTCTGTGAGCATCAAGCTGTGCCTGCAGTGTGGATGGGGCTATCAGGAGATAGTTCAGCCCTTAGGGGATGGAGCTTAGTAAAAGAAAGCAGTCAGCAGGGCCTGCCCTAGAGGGGGGCTTGGGACCCCTTCCTTCCTCTTCTCTAGTTCCTGGCCCTAATCCAGCCTGACTAGTGTTCATGAAGGCATTAATAGAGAAACTCCTTAGGCACAAGAACACAGCTCGGTCACAAGACTGTGTTCTGCAAGCCAAGGACAGAACCCAGCACACAGCGTTGGCCTATGGTCCTCAGAGGAAATGGCATTTTGATTTTGGACTTCTAGACTCCAGAAGGAGAAAACTTGCTCTTATTTAAATCCCCCAGCCTCTGGTATAACCAAAGACCACCAACTCAAAATGGAAAGACAAAGACTTGATGAAATTCAAGATGGCAACTGCAGCGAAATCAACTCCCAAGGAAGGGCCACTCTAAGCACCTGTGCTATGCTGCAGCCCACTCAGATGCCCCTGAGGCCGCGTCCTGGGAATACACAGGAGTGGGAATCTCCATACACCTTGGGCTTCATCTGCAGAAAAGTGAGGCTGAGATGTGAGAATAGTTCAGAACCAGCCCAGGCACACAAATCTATGACTCTTCTCTCCAGTAAGTCAGCAAAAGCCCAGAACTGGAGACATGGCTCAAGTAGTAGAAAGTGAGCCATGAATGCAAAAGCCAAGCAATCTAGAAAAGCCCTGAGTTCAAGCTCCCTACACACACACACACACACACACACACACACACAGAATGGTGTGACTCAAGAATGCCGGGATGGAAGGTCTTCCAACACTGACAATCCAGTGTAGAGTTGTAACAAGAGCTTTACTTGATTGCTTGTGTATGATCTGATTCCTTTACATAGGAACTGCACCGGCTCAATTCAGCACTAAGGACAGCTCCCGCACACCCTGGGCTCCAAATGATGGAGTCTTTATTCACTAGTTTCAGATAAGAGACTCCGATATGTTTACTGATTGAGAACAAGGATCCAAAAGAAGAAAAATATTTGAAGGTAGGGTTGAGAGGGAAAATAACTGATGAAATAACATACTAGAGAAAATAGTAAGAAAATAAAGCAAGAGAATGCTAAAAGCAGAGGGGGAACCCTGAATGGCATTTGGGGAAAAATGCATTTATTTATCCTTCACCCATTCAATGGTGAGATTCTTGTTTAGTCTGGAGTCCTTGTGGAATATATTATATATATATATATATATATACATATATATATATATATATGAAAACATATGAAGCCTTCTGTTCCATTTGTTTCATGAAAAATATATATGCACACACAAAAATGAACTAGGAGAAATGAACTAGGAAAAATGAACTAGGAGAAAGCCAGAGGCACTGCTGCAATTGGAGAGAGTCAAGGAAAGGACTGAGACAGTATGTGGACATGGGCTCGGGCCTGGCAAGCTGGCCATTCACAGGGTCTGAAAAGCAGAGGCACAGGGTCAGCTCGAGGCGTAGCGTGGCATTTGCTTTCCAGTTGATGAGAACTTACAGCAGCAGGACTGTGTGGAAGCAGAAAACAGACCTGCTCTAGCCCAGGACAAGCCTGCTCATTCCCAACATGTCTGAGCCAGAAAAGCTGGCTCATGTCAGGGCCACCCAAAGAAAACAACCAGGAAGAAAAATGACCCTAGCTTCCATTTTTAACTACATAATATGACAGGGTACCTATCTAACTTGACTGTTTTCTCTAGAGGATAGAATAATCTACCACCTATCCAAATGAAAGGCAGGCACACACACACACACACACCAAATGTCACTCAAGGGAGGAGACCCCTCCCACCAAGGCCACAATGTTCTCCTTCAGCTCTTGGATTTTTAGAGGAGACATGGGTCAAAGCTCATGCTGGATCCCCTTAGGCATGAGCTGCACAGGCTGCAGCCAGCCAGGCACAGGACATGAATCTCTCTCTACTCATTTTATTCTTAGGTAATTTGAAGGCTATCCCTTACTGTATTTTTTCCTCTTTCTTAGGACACCGGTTTAAATTAAATTTCACTTGCTTGTTTTGGTTTTGCACCATTGCTTTCTTGCGAATTAGTGCAATTGTTCCTGACTAGATTCACAGCTCTTTCACTTGCAAGTTCCTAGGTCAGACAGGCATGTCTCTCAGTGGGCTCCTCCTATTCCCCACCCCATTGCTTCTCCTCCAGTGCTTGTCGGAGACATCGACTTGCAAGACCCCATCTGAGTTCCCGTAGGCCGTGAGGGTGTATGCTGGCATGCATTCCTGGGAGGGGGGGGAGATGATGCCCCTTCCTCCATGCAAGATAAAAGGCAAAGGTCCTGCGCCCAGTGCCAGACTCAAGTGGGTTTTCAGGAAATGCCATTCATGCTCCTCCTAGTTAATTATGTAGAACTATGCCTCGAGATTCCTTTTGTATTTTTTTTGGGGGGGGGCCTGGTCGTGAGGCCCGAACTCTGGCCTGAGCGCTGTCCCTCAGCTCTTCAGCTCAAGGCTAGTGCTCCACCACTTGAGCCACAGTGCCACTTCCGGCTTTTTTCTTTTTGCTTATGTGGTGCTGGGGAATCGAACCCAGGGCCTCAGGCATGCAAGGCAAGCACTCTACCACTGAGCCACCTTCCCAGCCCTCCTTTTGTATTTTTTAATGGAGCCTCACCTGCACCTTGCTTCCTCTTTTATTACAAGTCTTTCCCATCATCTTGAATAAGTCCCCATCACCCATTCAAGGTTGCTAACCATCCACATTCCCCAAGAAGGTCAACTTTCTGTCCCGTGATTGCCTCATGCCTGTCCTGTGATTTACCTTCTATGCCCCTATGCCCTATATAAGTATGTGATGTTTTAATAAACTTTGTCTATACCCGCATGGTATGGTCCCTTTCTGCCTACCAGACACCGAGCTCCCGGGTCTCGCTGTGTGAACAGCAACAGGGCTCAGGTGTTCACTCACACCTTCTGGTCCTCTTGTTCACCCAATAGAACAGTGCAGACATCCACTCACAAGGATGGCACCAGGCAGGTGAAACACCTACTGAGCTTCCCACGTGCTTCAGTTCCTGCTTGGTGATCAGTTGAACGGATGGCATCAGACCACTTACCAATGTCAACCCAAATGCACTTCACCCACAGAGGGACAGACAGACAGACAGACAGACCTACATACAGAGAGACAGACAGACAGAGACTAGAGCCTCATGGAGTCACAAAGCCCTGTCTTTGACACACACACACACACACACACACACACACACACACACACACATCTTTCTTTCTCTCAAGATTGCACTGGTGTCCTTTTGGCATGAATTTCTGTGTATTTTTCCATGTTTCAGTTTATCAGCTGTGGCCTCCTCTCTGGCTGCAAATGGATAAGGGAGTCTGGCCTCTTGTTA